CTCTGGCTCCTTGACATCTGGAGGCTGGGAGAAGAAAATATTTTAGGAGCCTGACTTTGCATTTGAAGAACTCTGCACTCTATTTCTAAAGCGGTTTCACTCCATGGTTGGCTTTAGGTAAAATGTCTAAGTGGTCATCCAGTATCTGGTCTCAGTCACTGAAAATACTGTCCAGGAAGACCCAATGTCTTTTAACCTACAATCAGATTAAAAGTTTCAAAAATGCAAACATTTGAGAGAATTAAATAAAAAGCAATGTTTTTATTAAGAACAAGGGTTAAGGCACTGGGTGCCTGGAAGGAGTGGTGGTAAGCTAGACAGCAGGGTCAGGACAAACCTTAGGAGTGTCAGCACTCTGAACACTTATGTGAACCCTGGAGCCTGGTGGCTGGGACTGGAGGACGTCCAGCCAGCAGTTACTGCATGGTGGGAACCAGGAGTCCAAGAGCATATTATTTATGAAAATACAAACTAAGAGATGTCTGTCTGAAGTTTATGGAACCCCAGACTCTGGGCAGAAATTCAATAAATGGGAAGCAATTCACAAATTTAAGGAGAAATCCAGTAAAAGTTGACTTCACGGGATCCCCATCTACAGAATGAGGGTGCCCTAAACTCTAGCCAATGGTAGGACTGAGAGCCCAACTTGGTGACACAGGTGAGTCAGCTGTTGAGAGTTCACCTGGGAGAAGTTGGGGGCCATGGACACAGGGAGTCAGGAGGGCAGACAAGGGAGGGTGCTGTGAAATGCTTAGGAAGAAACCTCTGAAGACTGCGGTGGAAGTGATACACTCCTGTTGTAGTGGATAGCTCATAGGCGATATGTAGAACAGAGAAAGTATCAAGAAACAGGTTTCCTTAAAAAACAAACAAAAAATCAAAAAACCAAAACACCACTCAGAGAAAAATACTTTGATATTTCTATCCTTTATTTTTCTGTTTTATTTTTCATAGTTGAGCCAATCTCCAAATACATAATACAGTTTTATGCACGTTTTTCTGCCTACTATTATGGTGTAAATTCCCTCAAACCATTAAAAACTCTTCATTGGGCTGATATTTAAAATGTTCTTCTCTCTAGATTACTTCATCGTAAGAATACAGTATATAATACATATAATATACAAAATATGTGCTCATCAACTGTGTGTGTTACTGGTAAGGCTTCTGGTCAACAGAAGGCTATTGGGAATTACGTTTTTGTAGAGTTCAAAGTCACATGCAGATTTTTGACTGCAGCGGGCTTGGCATGCCCCAACTCTCATGCTGTTCAAGGGTCAACTCTCCTTGCAGAAATCTAGGCTGTTTATTTATTTACTTATTTATTTAAGAAAGAGTGAGTACAAGCAGGGGGAGTGGCAGGCAGAGGCAGAGGGAGAAGCAGGCTTCCTGCACGGAGCTGGGAGCTCCATCCCAGGACTCTGGGGTCATGACCTGAGCTGAAGGTAGACACTTAACTTACTGAGCCACCCAGGTGCCCCGAGATGATATTTAGTGATTATTCAATAGCTCATACAAAGAAAAAGCAACCACTTAAAACCTGCCTTCTAGAACTTCTGGCTTCTGAAAAAGCTCCAGACGTGGAAGCGCCGCAGGGGAAAGGCTCTGAACCACAATCGTAACAGTAACAACAGTCATGAAATCCCTGGAGCACTTCAAGGTAAATAAATACTTGAGAAGAGTCCAAAAAAAGACCCCAAATTATACCTTTACATTGTGCTTTTTATCTTTCATTATACCAAGCGGAAGGCACGCACTGATGGATGCCTTTTCCATCTTCCAGTCTCAGGGAAAGAATGCAGAGAACAAGAATGTTGGGGGCGTGGGGGAAGATTGTCCAGCAGTCCGCTTTTGCATTTCCCCAACCACCAAGGTTCCAGGCTGAAATAAAATTTTAACTTAATAATAGTGTAGTGAGACCAAATTGCAGACCAGAAACTGAACTTTGTGCTTTTAGCTTCCATTCCTCTAGGCTGGAACCTTGGCCCTTGAAACTCAAAAGCTAATTATTTAATATTTTCCTTCTTTGCCTACTGTAGCATCATCCCATCCCTGAGACATAAAGATGAGAAACACTGAGGGCAAGAGATAAGAGCACATGACAGACAGTGAGAGACAATGCCCTCTTGCCCCCTTGATACCATCAAATGTCCCGCCAGAGAAATAGTTATTGCCCTGGCAATGACCAATATATATCTTTTGGCCAAGTTCAAGGTTCAGTTTATGTGCTATGGCAGACCATGATCAGGTTCTAGTGGGCCTGATAAGCAGTAAGAGATGATGGCAGAGATATGTGCATGAGGAAGAATTCGCTTGTATGACAAATTCTTCAGGCCTTGAAGGTTGGCACGGCCCCTCTTTAGTCTGCTAGTACAAAAGGGCGTTGTTTGGGGCTCGTTTTGATGACTATAAAGTTTCATTTTCCTGGAGTTATATGATACTGATGGAGTTCAACTGAGTCTGAGGATGTACATTCTGTATTTTCAATAACTATAATCTTAGATATATTTGATCATATCCAATCTATACTGTTGCTAATGAATTGTAAAGCTCATTCTGATAAAGAAATAGCAGAGAAGTTTGTTCTTAATGAAATTCCTCACAGTTAATATATCATGGTAATTAATCTTTGAATTGTATTGTTTGAGGTCTGGTGTTATTTAATGAAACTATGGTAACTAAGATTTCTGCCTTTCAGGGGTGCCTGGCTGGCTTAGTGGGTATAGAGCATGTGACTTTTTGATCTTGGGGTTGTGAGTTCGAGCCTCATGTTGGGGTAGAGGTTACTTAAAAAAAAATTATAAAATTTCTGCCTTGGGGCGCCTGGGTGGCTCAGTGGGTTAAAGCCTCTGCCTTCGGCTCAGGTCATGATCTCAGGGTCCTGGGATGGATCCCCTCAACGGGCTCTCTGCTCAGCAGGGAGCCTGCTTCCTCCTTTTGCTCTCTGTCTGCCTCTCTGCCTACTTGTGATCTCTGTCTGTCAAATGAATAAATAAAATCTTTAAAAAAAAATTCTGCCTTTTAGAACCATGCAAATGATGACTGCCTCTTTGGTGGCAGATTAGAAATTTCCAAAGGTAGTGCAACAGTCTCTTCCATCCTACCTGTTCTTCTCAGACCTTGCTATTTTCACATCCAGAGGTGGGGCCTGTTTCCCTGTCCTCGAGTCAGGGCAGTTTTGTGACTCTGGCAACCAACAAAATGCAACAAAAGTAACTGTGATTTCTCAAACTCAGTCATTAAGGACAATGACTAAGCTTAACACTGGAACACTTCCTCCAAAGCTTGAAGCCACCATATAAGTTCTCCAATCACCTGAAGACCATCATGCTGGGAAGAAGTCCAAACAAGCCCATGTGGAGAAACCATGAGGAGGAAATGCATGAATTCATTGGCCCAGTATTATATTATTGGTCTGTTAGGTTGTTTCCAATTTTTTGATATAATTAATTCCGTAACAATATCTTAGAACACAGTGCATTTTTCATGAGTGCAACTATGTGCCAGTTAAATTCCAAAAAGCAGAAACAGCACAATATCTTGAAATTGGAAGGATATTTCTTTTTCACATTCCACCAATAAAGCTACAACAAGAAAGTGCTTAGCAGTCCATTTTGTTAGTGAAGTTATATACATTATTTGTGCCAAAAAGGCAAAAGACATTGGTAGCACAACAAAGGAGATAAATTTCATCCTGTAGGCTAGGTCATTTATTCTCTGATTTAAATGTATATTTTGTAGAAAGATGGCCATATTCCTCTGACCGAGAAATTGGAGAGTTGTCTATTCTTTAACCTACAATCCTAAAAATACAGAAAATGAGCAAAGATTAGGTGGACAAGGGGAAAGTTTTTCATGAAACCAAGCTTTAGGGGTCGATTTTGGGGTCGATACCATTTGTCTTTATGTTGTACACCAGTTTCGTTAACATTTGCTAGAAGATGCTCAGCTCAGAAAACAAAACAAAACACACAAAAAACTCATGCCTGTATTGCTCACATGAGACCTCATTCCAATAAGGAAAGCTGAAGTTCCATTAGTATAATTTATTTAAGACCACATGGAAGTTTATTTGATACTTAAGTCATAAAAAAGGACACCAACACAAAACTATCTGGCCTGAAAGAGTTAATCCTCAGCCACCTAAAAAGTAGCTCTCCAGAATGACTCACTTCTGTAACTTGCAGATTTCAAATCCTTAACTTTATCTGGATGCAAGGCTAATTGAAATTTGTACAATATTTCCTTTTCCAGACAGCTACGCTTGCGCATGTCTCAGGTCTGTGGTGCCTAGTTTCAGCTCTCTGTCTCAATAGACTTGATAAGGCGGTATATTGGTTAATATGTAGCAAAGTTCTCAAAGTACTCTAGCAAACTTCCTTGTCTGTAACGTACCCTTGGAGTATTTGTCTATTAATTTCGGCTTTGTTTGCTTTTTAATTTTGAAAGATGTATTGGTCTCAAAGGGTTCTGTTTTTCCCCTCTGCAGCATCGTTTGACTGTTTTTCGGATGGGTCTTCATTATAATGGTGCCACTGTCTGCTACAGCAGAGATGGTCAAAAACCCAGTTGCCTGCTGAGCTGAACCAAGCCCAGAGAAGTGAAGCTGTGGACGGTCCGAAGAGCTCCAGTTTCAGGCGGTGCCAAGTGTCACAAGCTTGCTGAAATGCACTTTGCCTTTTCTACATCGTTTACTTCCCATGCGAAGCTCACTGCTAGGATCTAACCTTTAGATGCTTTCTGAGTAAAAGGAAACTCAGTATGAAATAGCTCTTATGTGACTATTACACGGTATCTAGGATTTAAAGGTCTAGAGTAAATGGTTTAAATGTTATTTTAAAAGGCAAAGATATTCTCACATGTCAAAAAAAAAAAAAAAAATACACCCAAAACTCCAACCTCCACCAGCCACTCTTTCAACAGAAACTTAAAAGAACTTGATACAGTGGGATGGAGAAAATGAGAAGAATGGTCATCTAAAAATCGCCATCGGTGAAGTAATGAAGAACATTCGCTGGCTGATTCTGAAACTTGTCAGTGTTGCGACTCTTGGCGGCATATGGATTTCTCTGGTACATTGTACAGTTTTAAACTACTGCCTAAAGTCATGTGTAACTAACCTGGTAAGTTCTGCTGCTCTAATATTTCTCTTTGCAGGAACTGGATTGTGTAGAATTCAGCTTGTTAAAAATGAGTGGATGATTTTCTCATGAGATGTGGTAGCACCGCAAGAAAGATTTTTTTTCTCCCCAAAATAAGTTAGGAATGTTTTTAATTACAGAAGTTAGGGAGGGCTATTTTATTTCTTTAAGTTATCTGCTCATAGATTTCTTTTTTTCCCTGTGGGGGAGGGGGCATAGGAATTGGCTTAAAGAGGCTTACATGCGGTAAACTGTGCACGTTTTTAAAATATCAATTTAAACTTGTCTATTTCCAAACCATTTGTTTTTCTTGAAGCAAGAAATAGGGTTGGCCATAGGGCCATACCTCCTAGTTGCAGACGGCAGTAGCATTTATGGTGGGGATGGAGGGCTGTATGGGGAGGTGGATGCCCAAGGGAGCAGATGCAGATAAAACAACGTTTTATTTGAAAAGCAAGACTTGTTTTTAAGTTCCTTTACTTCTACCTGTGCATTTGTAATTTTTTTTTCAATAATGAGTTTTCTGGATATTCTTCCCCTATAAAATGTTCCATATCTTTCAGTTATTGGGACGTGGTTGTGCTTCAAATAGCCCCTGAATCAATTGTAAAAAAAAAAATATATATATATATATTTTCTAGCCCACGGAAAGATGTACTCTTCTTATCTAGAGACAAAGGAAATAGCTTGATAGCTTATGAGCTACTTATAGTCCTACTTTTTCCAATAATAAAAGTACTCCTTGTTATGCTAAAGTGTTGGGGGTAGAAGTCCCGGGCGGATAAAAGGGCTAATTATCTGTGTTACACTCTTCTGGCTTAATTTAAATTACAGATTAAAACACTAGTTAAGCTTTCTTTCTTTTCTTTTCTTTTTTTTTTTTTTAAAGATTTTATTTATTTGTTTTACAGACAGAGATCACAAGTAGGCAGAGAGGCAGACAGAGAGAGAGGTGGGGGGGGAAGCAGGCTCCCTGCTGAGCAGAGAGCCCGATGCGGGGGCTCTATCCCAGGACCCTGAGATCATGACCTGAGCCGAAGGCAGAGGCTTTAACCCACTGAGCCACCCAGGTGCCCCTACTTAAGCTTTCTATGGATAGTAGCGGTTTTTTAAAAAGTTTGGTATTTTATATAAATCACTGTTGAAGACCTTATTGCCATTAAGGTGGGATTGTATGCATTAGGCTTTGAGAGTCATAATCCAAACTTAAACATGGAAAAATAAGACTATAATATGTATTCTTTTTTTTTTTTTTTAAATTTGACAGAGACCACAAGTAGGCAGAGAGGCAGGCAGAGAGAGAGGAGGGGGGAAGCAGGCTCCCCGCTGAGCAGAGAGCTGGCTGTGGGGCTCGATCCCAGAATCCTGAGACCATGACCCGAGCCAAAGGCAGAGGCTCAACCCACTGAGCCACCCAGGCGCCCCATTTGTATTCTTTATTGAATAATTTAAAAATTTCCCTGATTAGAATATATATTCGCTGCAAAATATTTATGAGATATAGAAGTAGAGAAGAAAAAGAAAAATGCATTTTCTCTTCAAATATGTATATAATTTTACATACAGTTGTGCATCTGTCTTTTTCACCTAACATGACTTTGTAAGTTTTTCCTACACCCTGACGTTTTTATGGAAATGGGATCTTCAGTATATTTAAAATATTCCCATCCTATAAATGTCCACCATAATTTGTTAGTTTCCCCTTACTGTCAAAGCTGATGTTGGTTGTTTCCATTACTGTAGTCTCCGTTTTATTTTGTTTCATTTTTTAGTTATGTTTAGTTTTGTCTTATCTTTGTGTGGGCTCCTGGGTTTCAGGCAGTAGGAGCAGACATTCTGTTCCTTTGTTGCACTGCCTTCCGCTCACCACCCACAGACACAGGCCCTGCCGATGTGGTGGCCACTGGGACAGACATGGTCTGCCAATTTGCCGAGCGCCTCTCATCAATGTTCTCCATCTGGGCCTCCCACACAGGGCCTGGAGGGACAAAAGCTAGGTCAATGAACAGTGGATATAGCCATGGATCAAGGGAAAGCATATGTAAAGTGCTCGAGTTTATGATATTGTTCGCATTCTTCATGTGTGCCATTCTTTGAAGCCCGGACGTTCGCTGCGAAGGTCATCTTTGATTTCACTGGGTGGTTCTTGACCCTGAGGCATCTTTACTTTTTAAAAAGAAACACAGAGTCTTATACAAAGGAAAGTTTAGAACTGCTGTCCTAATGTACACAGATCATAGTTCTATGCTGAGCATGAACAATTTATATCATTTGAGGGATCTGTAGGTATTAGTTGAATGTAGTAACTGACTTAATATTTTTGAGTTATATGTGCCTGTGCTGCAGAGAACAAAAAAGAATGAAGGTTCTTCAGAACACTAGTATGGTGGCAGCCTTCGTGAAAAAGAGACAAATGACATCAACAGTCAAATAGTTTGTGGGAATGCTTCTTGCCAGCTTTGTGTAGATTCACAGGGCACAGCAGCATATTAATGGCTTTGTTTAATCATAATTTTCTGATCTTCTTCAGCAATAAAACCTTTTTTTTTTTTTTTTTTTTTTTGTGAGTAGCAAGTCCCAACGACTCAGGAACTAGAGTTGAGAAATGTTCTGTTAGAAGCATCAGTTCAATTCAATGCAAGGCATTAGAAACTAGAGTTCAGAGGTTATCCTGTTTTTTAAAAAAAAGAACAAGGGGCACCTGGGTGGCTCAGTGGGTTAAGCTTCTGCCTTCGGCTCAGGTCATGATCTCAGGGTCCTGGGCTCTCTGCTTGGCAGGAAGCCTGCTTCCTCCTCTCTCTCTGCCTGCCTCTCTGCCTACTTGTGATCTCTCTGTCAAATAAATAAATAAAAACCTTTAAAAATAAATAAATGAAATTTAAAAAAGAACAAGCATCAATATCTTTCTTGTATATCTATATATAACTTTATACCAAGATAATAGAACAGAACCAGAATCCAAAAATGCCACAAAATATCCAGGAATTAGCATAGCTTTTACTGGCGTAGGGGTGGGCAGATCAGTAAGAGGGAATACAGGGTGGGAGGGAAGCTGTGCACAGAAGGAAGTGTGGAATATGACAAAGACGGCAGTTCCAACCACAGTGGGGCTGTTTGTTTACCATAAAAAATAACACCTTCCGGGGCGCCTGGGTGGCTCAGTGGGTTAAAGCCTCTGCCTTCGGCTCGGGTCATGATCTCAGGGTCCTGGGATCGAGCCCCGCATCGGGCTCTCTGCTCCGCGGGGAGCCTGCTTCCTCCTCTCTCTCTGCCTGCCTCTCTGCCTACTTGTGATTTCTCTCTGTCAAATAAATAAAATCTTAAAAAAAAATAATAACACCTTCCTTCAGTAGGTGAGTGAATAAGTAAACTGTGGCACATCCAGACAGTGAACTATTATTCAGAGCTGAAAAGACATGAGCTTTCGAGCCATAAGTAGACATGGAGTGAACCTTAAAGACATATACTAAGTGAAAAAGCTGACCTGAAAAGACCCCATACTGGATGAGTCCAAACACATGACATTTTAGGAAAGGCACAACGATGGAGATGATGAAGAGATAGATCAGTGGTTGCCAGGAGCAGGTTTGTATGTGGTGGGGAGATGCATAGGGAGAGCACAGAGGATTGTTAGAAACGGTGAAAATACTCTGTACAATATCACGATGGATACATGTCAGTATACATTTGTCCAAACCCACAGAATATACAACTGTGAGTGAGCCCTAAGGTAAACTACGGACTTCAGGGGATTATTATTGTGTCCACGTAGATCTATCCTTGGTAAAAACTACCATTCTGGTGACTGATGTGGATAATGAGGGTGGCTATGCCTGTGTGGGGTCTGACAATGAAGTCTGTTTTTTTAGTATATGTGCTGCCGAAGCGAGCACATGTTTTTTTTTAAAAAAAGATTTTATTTATTTATTTGAGAGAGAAAGAGCAGGAGGGGCAGAGGGGCAGAGGGTGAGAGAGAGAGAGGGAAGCAAACTCCCCACTGAGTGCAGAACCTAATGGAGAGCTCAGTCTCATGACCCTGAGATCATGACCTGAATCAAAACCAAGAGTTGAACGCTTAACCGACTGAGCCACCCAGGCACCCCAAAAATAAAGTTTTTTTTTTTTAAAGTTCAGGCAAATTTTAAAAAACCTAACTCCTTAACAATACTATCAGATTCACATATATTCCAGGAGTTGTTAAAAATACTGCGATTTAGATAAAACAACAGAAACAAAACAAAACGAAATAAGACTTCACCCCATAGATACGTTGGAATAAATTAGAAGTGAATATTTCTACAGTCTTGGAGTGGCAATGCCTTAAGAAGACTGTTTCAAAAATACAGAATCCCTACAAGAAATTATAAATAATTTAACTACTTAGAAACTTAAAATATTGGACAATAAACAGAGCACAAGAAAAAGCCCCCAAAATGGGAAAAATATTACATGGGATGAACAGAATTTTAACCAAACCTTATATATAAAAAAGTATTTAAATTAAGTTTAGGGGCACCTGGATGGCTCAGTTGGTTAAGCGGCTGCCTTCACCCCCTCACTGGCTCCCTGCTCAGCGGGGAGTCTGCTTCTCCCTCTCCTTCTGATGGTCCCCCTGCTTGTACACTCTCACTCTCTCTGTCAAATAAACAAAATCTTAAAGAAAAATAAAACAAGTTTAGAACATGAAGCCCTACTTCACAAAATAAAAAGCAGAAATGGCTAACACCTATTGATAAGTATGCAGCCTCACAGAATTGCAGAATGACTGACTTTGCTTTCATCAAATTGGCAAAGATAAAAACATTCATAGTCGGCAAAGGTGGGATAAACCAGTGCTCTCATGCTCATCAAGAAATATATCTGAAGAGATTATTGCATCACTCAGCAGAGATAAGTTTGGGAAAGTTGTTTGCACCTCATATTACTAATAGATCCCCAGTGCTTGGCACTGTACTCTAATAGTACATTATTTAGTTGAATCCTCACAGAACTTTATGCACTAAATACTATCTTACTTATGTGTCAGATGAGAATACTTCAATGTCACATCAGGCGCAAGCGTCCTATATGGGACTAAAATGCAGACCATACTGCTCTGTTTCATTTCCTAGGGTAGGAAGTAAAGAAATGAAAGCAGTTCCGGCTGAGGTGGGCGGGGGGAGAGACAAACTTGTGCCAAGTGGCAGAAATGGTTAAGAAGATTTAGGATCCAGGCCTGGGATTGTGGGTTTCAAGCAGCTCATTGGAGGAGGTGGTGCTACGGTAAACTGAGGAGGAGTCTCACTGCAAAGGGAGGACTGTGGATTTGGTGCAGATCATAGGGAGCATCGTACTTTGGTTAAGAGAACAGGGTCTGGAGACAACTCTCAGACTTCTTTACATTTTAACTCTTGAGCCATTCACTAAACCTCCCTGGGTCTCAGCTGTACAAAGGGGTTAGTAATAATACATACCTACTAGTGCCGTTGAGAGGTTGAATAAGATTTAGTGTAAAACAGCTGGTAACCTGTCGGAACATAGGATCACTCGCTGAATGGTAGCTCTAATAATGTTGAGGACGACGGTTGACAGTATCTTCTTCATCACCCATAGACCTGACTCCTGAAGCTACCTTGCTCAAGGCCCTGTGGTGGCTCTCTCTTCAGCCCGTTAAATTTAGTCTTGAGAGCTGCCAATGAAAGGACTCAGGACTGTTACAATGTGACTTTATGGTCACCAAGAAACAGCTCTGTTGGCCCGCTGTTCAAAATGAAATGCAGAAACTACCCAGCAACCTCTCTTTTGTTTTTGTGAGCTAACGGATTTTTGAAGGGATCTGAAAAAATTTAGTTGCAAATTCCCTCTTAGACCTCATTGTATATGATTGTGGTTCAATCATATAAAGGGGAATCAAAAGCTTTTTTTTTGAATGAAATCCTGGAAACAAAGAATTATTATGCCCATGGCTGCAAAATTAATCTAAAAGATTCAGTTCTGACTCTCTGAGTATTTCTTATCAAAAATCAAAACACATGAAGCATCCTTCTTTCTCTACAAATGTAATTAGGGAATGGAGGCAAGAGCAATCTTCATTCCCACATCAAATGGCAGGGGAAAAAGCAACTTTGGTTCTTTGGTTCCTGTGACTGATTACTTCCTAAGTGAAACCCCAGAGTGCAAGGCCATTGGAGAAGGCTTTCAAGAGACAGGGCTTCTGGAGCATTCCTATGTAATAGGCCATTTTGAGTTCATGGGTTTATTCCTTATGTATGTACTTATTGAAGACCTTTTATCCCTCTGGACTGTTCCAAGTACAGAGTGAAGGCCGAAATGAATGGCTCTTACCTTGAAGGGGAGAGAATGCTCAGTGAACTTAGTGTTCAACGGATCTTCTCTTCCTTCTGAAAAGCAAGGGCTATTCAGAAGCCCTCAAGAGAGGCTTCAACCACCTGGAGTGGGGCGTGCCTGGATGGCTCAGTCGGTTAAGCATCTGTCTCTTGGTTTCCACTTGGGTCCTGATCTCAAGAATCATGATCTCATGGGTCATAGGATCCAGCCCCACGCCCTGCACCAGGCTCCCTGCTGGGTGGGGAGTATGCATCAAGATTCTTTCCCTCTGTGCCTTCCTCTGCTTGCTTGTGCCCTCTCTCTCTGAAATAAATAAGTAAATCTTAAAAAACAAAAATGAAACTAAACACCTCCAGGGCTCCTTTGGATTTTCTATTATCTCCTGGAACACATCTTGCTTATAGTGCTGGGTCAGCCAAGGTCAGACGGCATGCTCCTGGCTGGATTAATCATCTCTTCAATTCAATGTTTCAAATCCTGCAACTTTTCAGGGGATATTCCAAGCAGTACCAATTAGAGGTACTAGGAGTATTCACTTAGTTATCTTCTACTCATATTACTAAGTCAGTCAGTGAGGGATGCTGACAATTAGATCTATCCATAGAACACTATTGACACATACCTGATCATCATAGACCCAATATTGTCATCCTTTGTAAGCCTTTCAGTTTATCAAGGACTCTACTCACGTAACAACCGGGAGAGGATGGACAATTTATAAGATTTTCCCCCCTTCGTTCCTATTTCTTTTATATTCTTCCAGCACAAAAAGTTTTTAAAATTTATGAAAATATGAGAAAAAAACCAGAGTAATCTGATGTTTTACTATATGTGAAATTCTGAATTTATATTTTTTCACTATTCTTAGACTGCTTAAAAAAAAACAAAACCTGACCATAATTCATCTTTAACCCCCGAATCCTTTGACTTGATGAATTGACTAAAGTCACAGGCTTACTTCATACAGTGTGAGAGAATATGTCCATGGTCCCTAACCACTCCTTACGGCCCCCCTGCTCTGCCTTGATAATTTCTGCAGAATTCTCAGGCATTCCATCTTATAATGTGCATTGACATTTTACCAGATTTCATGACTGATTTAATGACTTTAAAACATTGTACTTTATAGTTAGAAAACACTATTCCAGGAAGCTTTTTTTTTTTTTTTTTTAAAAAAAAAGCTATGGTAGTTGTACTGGACACAAGATTGATAGCTGGTGTTTCTGATCTCCTTCTTCACTTCAGGGCCGGCAGCTTGACGTTGGCGCGCCGTACAATCTGAGTGAACCGGTGAGTAAGCACTTCCACTGTCAGGAAGTTTATAGTGTTTGCCTTGATAAGAATGGGACCGTGGTCAGGTTTTATTACAATAAGAATAATTCCTAAGTAGAGTCTCATTTCTTTGTCCTTGATGGAGGAAGTTCAACTGAAAATAGCAAGAAGTCTAAATTACAGAATATTCAAAAAATGAACCCAGGCACAGCGTGTCTAGGAAGAAGGAACACACAGGACTAAGCCAACTCCATGATTTTGATTCTACTTGGCTGTGTGGCTTGGGGCAAATTACTTAATATTTCTGAGACTTCGTTTTATTACCTGTTGTCTCAGAGGGTTGGATGAGATGGTCTCCAGTGTTTCTCCTAACAATTACATTTATGGTTTTATTACTGGTTTGCACCTGTATCCACTTACTCAACTACTGTGTAGTGACTCAAAATGAACACACTTCTCCAACTGTGGACTTCTTCCGGTTTTGGTATGCTGCCTTCTGGTTGAGTCCCCAGTTTTGAGTTTTGCTTGTTGTGCGAGGACATGGCCAGGACCCATGATATGCTCGATGCCATGGTATCCAGGACTTTCTCTGCTGCCAGCTACCCAGGGGACGGGGTACTCCTTGAAGTTTGGGTGATCTCTGGGTTCTAGGCCTGCCCATGCCACCTCTGCTCAGCAACGCCGCTGCCTTGCAGTGAGTCACCCCAAGCCCTACTCTGCCTGGAAATAGGAGAAGTCTGCTTAGGATTGCAAAGGTCCACAGGTTCCTGGGTAGATACATTTTGTTACTATGTGGCACTAATCAGGTGGCAAGAAAAAGTCACCCTTCTCTAGTCACCATTTTCTCTTATTATGTCTCTTGCAGTGCATCCAAGGATGTCATTTCTGGAACTCTGTAGAGCAGGAAAACTGTGCTTTAAAATGTGTAAGTATTAATTATATTTTTGTTTTGGTACTAATATCACTTTCCAGAGAAAAGTTATCTAAGAGGATTCCCATTTGAATTTCCATTGGCTTTCACGGAGTTTGCATGACTCTAAAGGAAAAGTATGATAGCCTGACTGATACATAATAATGTGGAAAAATTGAGATAAATGCTATTAATGCAACTGGAGACCCGAGGAAGTGAATGCAAACTGTGGAACACAGGAATACCCATAATTGCTCTAAACTATAATGGCCTTTTAGTAGAATGTCAGGCACTTGTCAAATTCCCTAGTCTTGTGCTTCTCAAATGTTGAAGTTCAGTTATCTAAGGATCTTGATAAAATGCTCATTCTGATTCTGAAGACCTGGGGCGGGACACGAGATTCTGTACTTGTAAACAAGCTCCCAGGTGATGTGATGCTTGTAGTTCCTGAATGACACTTTGGCCAGCAATGCCCTAGGTGGTGCTGGGAATTTCTCTGTAGGTAACATGGCAGCATTCTAATCCAGAGGTCACAAACCCCTTTGTTTACTCCATGCTATATAGAAAATACATCCCCAAATGCTTTATTTTTAATTTTTAATTAATCCCAGCTTTGCCACTTAGTGTGTAACCGGTTAAGGAACTTCACCTCTTGGTACTTTACTTTCCCCCTCAATACGTTAGGATAATAATAGAATCTCCCTCTTGTATTGTGCCTGATACACTGTTATTACTCTGATATAGTGAATAAGAATTTTGTCTTTTAAGAGTGGATTCCTTTGTTCAGGTTGTTCAGGTCTGAGGTTGAATCATGGTGATTTGGGGTAATCCTAATATTGTTTCCTATTAACAAGTGAAACTCTATCGTTGAGATTTAAATAAGGACATTAACTTCTCCTTCCAAATGGTGCTCATAGCTTTTCTTGTATGGTCTTGTGCTCAGGTCTCTGGAACAGGCTTAGGCTTACTCTCACATTCGTGACTATGTGCCCCATAAAATGGGAGTTACCAAAAAGTGGAGTGGGCATTTTCTGGATTTGGGAACTATAACACATTTAAGAATTATTTTACCTTTCTTTGGTGCCATTTTTTATGGATTCCAATGGAAATCATCCTTTGGTCTGTGTTTGTTGTCTTTTGCTCTGACCTGTAAGCCCATCAGAAGGGGTCTCTCTTTCTTGTTCCCACTGTCTGTTTCTCAGAACACCGTGAGAGGCACACAGCAGGTGCTCAGACAGCACTTGCCAGGTTACTGAGTGGGAAGGACCATCTGATGCTGGCGACAGTCCAGGCAGTACAGTCGGCACCAGAGCAGCCGGTCCAGACAGGGGCAGGGGCACCTTTGCTAGCCAGAGCTGTTGGTGGTTTCCATGTCAGCTTCTGTCTCCACTGGGCATCTGCCAACACCTCTTCATTTTCTTACTCCGTCCACCGCAGATCACCTCTTGGTCAACTGGGATTTTCTAGTAGACATCAAACTGCATCATTTTTCTGGAGATGCAAACAGAAGGGGAGAGGGAAAATTTAAGCCCAACATGGGCTCCATCTCACAATGCTGAGATCATGACCTGAGCCAAGTTCAGGAGTCTGTTGCTTAACCAATGGCTCCCTGCAAACATAATTTTTATAGCTGTTCATACAGTGGCTTGCCTGGACTGAAGGCCCAGCTCTGCGCTCCTTGATTTTGATTGTTTTTATTGGTTATTTGTCAATGGTGGGGCAAGAAATTAATTTGAAAAAGTGTCATTAAAATTATTTACAGACTTAAGGATTTTAAGTAATTTCACTTTTCTTTTTTCCTGTGCAGAATGACACCTATGCCCCTGTTTGTGAGGTGAGTTGGCAAGCACAAAACAGATGTCATCAAACCCCATGTCTTTATCTCTTAGATTTAAAAAGCTATTAAAATAAGAATGAAGAAGCCACCTAAGCCTTCATAATAAATCACAGTAGTCTATCATTTAATATGTATATTAAAAAAGGACACTGTATTTACAATTTTCTTCCTTCTTCAACAAACTCCTTGACAACATTTTAAAGCACAGCTTTTAAGATATTTTATTATTGTTTTTACTATGATAATAAGTGTCTTCCTGCTGACTCTGGCTGCTCAGGTCTCTTTTCTCAGCTCTCCCTCCCTCTGCTGGCTCCTCTCCTGCACTGGATTTTCTCCTCTTTCAGAAAGACCTTAGGGATTTTGATTTTTTTTCCTACTTGATCTTCTTCAACTGTTCTGGATTCTATGGTCCTCAGAATTAGTTTTAGGTCAACCAGAGAGGTTTATGGAGAAAATATATTATTTCTCAGTTTAAAGCCCATGTTGTATTCTATTTAAATGTCCTTGAAACTGGGGTGCCTGGGTGGCTCAGTGGGTTAAAGCCTCTGCCTTCGGCTCAGGTCATGATCCCAGGGTTCTGGGATCGAGCCCCGCATCGGGCTCTCTGCTCAGCAGGGAGCCTGCTTCCTCCTCTCTCTCTTCCTGCCTCTCTGCCTACTTGTGATCTCTGTCTGTCAAATAAATAAATAAAATATTAAAAAAAAATGTCCTTGAAGCCAAAGGACAGAACTATTTTATTCTGCCTGGGAAAGGAATATAACTTACCATCCATTAGTAAAACAAAAAAGTTTCTTTCTACTAGAGAATAAAAATAAACAACACAAAATGTTACATTGGATCATTTTCTCAATAGTCTGTGCTTTCTCTGTGCCTGAGTGATATTCCCCTGGGAGTAGATGGGAGGGGTTGGGGGGGAGGCGGAATTTACTCCATATGTAAAAAAAAAAATTATAAGTCTTTCCTAATTGAGATTTTAAAAAATCAAAAACTGCCCGAGAACCTTTTTATGTGGTTAAAGTAACATTGCCACCCTCCCCCACCAAAACCATCCCTCAGAATATAGTGCTAAGAAAGTCAGGGATGGTTCAAGCCTCTCAAGCCCAGAAGCAGCCTGAGATTGGATTGCTAATGCGGTAGTTTCCTGGTGATCAGCGTGCTGCCTGCCATCTGTGTGTATATGACATAAAGCTTTTTTCTCTATTATAACTCACATTATTATTCTGTTCTTTTCTTTGTATACTGGGCTGTTTTACACTTTAAATAAAGTAGATCTGAACAGCAATACATGCTATAGAGGTACAGAGATTGAGATAGATCTATGGAGACTAGATGTTTGAACTCAGGTTCTGAGTTCTGAGTTCTGCAGGTGTGGGTTCTGAACTCAGAACCCATACCTGCAGGAGGAAATCAACTCTTCAACCATTAATGCTTCAACCTAGGAAGCTGGGAATTTCTGCACACATTCCTTGGAGGAAATAGTGTTGGAAGAGTTAGCTTAGCAAACTATAACTTGGAAAATGATGTCAGCCAGTGAGATGGCTTATCCCTGCTAATTGAAAATGCAAATTAGATCATATTGTTCCTAAAAACCTTTCTATGGCTTTGCATTGCTGTTGAGAAAGCTTATGAACTACCCTTTGCTGGGCCCCATCTTGCACCCCCTGTCCCTTGTTCTCTGCCTGCCACACAGGCTTTTCCCTCTTTAGAATATAGAGGGAACATTCCTGCCTCCTAGCTTTTGTCCTTAAGACCTTTTATGAGCCCAGATGCTTGCAGTCACTCAGGTCCTGCTCCAGGATCCTCTCTGCCTGGTTCTTCCTGAGTACCCTGAGAAGACAAATTCTCCTTCCTGCCTGGTCATGCCTTATGCCTTTACCTTGCTTTATTGTCTTCATAGCACTTCTTGTTACCTGAATGTATTTTATTTATTTATTTTTTTAACTCATTGTCTGTCTTCTTCTTCTTCTTCTTTTAAGATTTTATTTATTTATTTGACAGAGAGAGAGACAACAAGAGCAGGAACACAAGCAAGGGGAGTGGGAGAGGGAGAAGAGGCTTCCTGCAGAGCAGGGAGCCTGATGTGGGGCTCGATCCCAGGACCCTGGGATCATAGACCTGAGCTGAAGGCAGACACTTAACAACTGATCCACCCAGGCACCCCATGTCTGTCTTCTTCTAAGAGAATGTAAATTCCATGAAGGTGGGGAACTTACCAGTCTTGCTTACTGCTAGATCCTTAAAGCCTATACCAGTGCTTGGCACACACACATAGTATGTACTCAATAAGCATTTTTTGAATGAATGAATGAATGAATGAATGAATGAATAGTTTTTAAGGAAAGGAAGCCACAATTCATGTGGAGAGGCTGTATTAGGGGCATCCCAAGATGGGGGTGGGCATGTCCTCCTTGGGTTACAGGAATAAGAAAAGGCATTGCCAGCATGTGTACCTGCCTGATAAATATGGGGTGGAGGGGCGCCTGGATGTTCAGTGGGTTAAAGCCTGTGCCTTCAGCTCGGGTCATGATCCCAGAGTCCTGGGATCGAGCCCCTCATCGGGCTCTCTGCTCAGCAGGGAGCCTGCTTCCTCCTCTCTCTCTGCCTGTCTCTCTGCCTACTTGTGATCTCTGTCTGTCAAATAAATAAATAAAATCTTAAAAAAAAATACAGGGTGGAGCTAGAGGGATGAAACTTGGTTTTACTACTATGGGAGACATTGGAGTGTGGACTACAATAGAGACAGCAGACTGATGTAACCCTTGGAAAGCATGAACTTGGCTTCTGCAATGGGAATGGTAGCTCAGTGGCCTGGGATACACTGTAAACATGCCTCGTCCAGGGGCTCTGGGCTCAGATTCTCTGATTTCCTTAAATCTGACCACCTTTAGATTCTCTCTAGGCAATTTGAGCACTGGATAATGTCATTCTAAGCCCAATGTTAGATGAGAGAGAGGGAGAGGGAGAGAATCTAATTTATAGTGTTGCCTCCACTTGATATAACATTTAAACTTCTTAGAATACAAACTTCCAGTTTTAATATTAACAAGTTCTGGTGAACTTGTTAGCTAACTTATTAGCTAATAGCTAATAATACTGCATTCAATGCCTGAATGTTGCCAAGAAAGTAGATCTTAAATGTCCTCACACAAAAAAAGAAATGGTAATTACGTGATGGGATGGAGATGTTAGCTAATGCTATAGTGGTAATCATTTTGCAATATATAAATGTATCAAATCAACATGTTGTATACCTTAAACTTACACAATTTGTATGTTAATTATATCTCAATAAAACTGAAAAAAATACAAGCTTCACAGAGTAACAAAATAGTTAAACACACTACATAGATCCAAATTTTATTATATATTTTCCTCTGAAAAGATGCAGGAAAAATAAACCCACAATTTACTGGATAGTCAGGACTAGCAATATTTTCAAATAAACTCTATTCTATTTCCTTTCTTCTTCCTTGGTTTTACTGCTCGGAAAAAAATTCCAGTTACATGATAATTTTGTTGCCACTTGGTATATTTATTCAACAAGCATTTTATTGGAGCCTGCAAAAAGAATGTGAAAAGTATACTAAGCCCTTAAGTTAAATAATCCTGAGCCCAGACTGAGGTATTTAAATTAATCCTTAACTAAGCAAACCCGAGTTTATCAGTCTGAACTTCCCTTGAGTGAATAGGTCAAACATTGTGCAGCTAGTATTTGCAAATTACTTGGGATGTTTAGGGCAAATGTATTGTGTCATGGTTTCCACTATCTCCATGAGAAACAATAGCATGTTTTCCTAGGTATTATAAATGCAAACTGAATGAAAGCAGGAAGATGGATCATGATTGTGTTATGGTCTTAAATTTGTGCCTTTTTCCAAAAGTTTTATCTTTTCTTTTTCCTTTCCTTTCCTTTCCTTTCCTTTCCTTTCCTTTCCTTTCCTTTCCTT